TGTGGGGGGGGGGGGGGAAGAATCCAGCATTGGGAGCGGCTCAAAGTGAATGTGCTTCATAAGAAGGAAAAAGAAAACCCCAACAAAAAACTGAAACCAAACCTCCTCCCCAAGTGACTCCCCCTCCCCATCCCAGCCCTTTCCACCCCTCTCCCTTGAAGTTATGTGGACAAAGCACCGCACTCATGTTGAAAGACCCCATGCGAATCTGTAAACAACACTGAAGAACATAAATAAGATTTCTGCCTCCCCCAGCCTCTCCTCTCCTTTCATTAGGACTTGAAACAAACCAAAGAAAAAAAAATGGTTTCAGGAAAACTAAGAATGTTCTTGGCTGATGGAGAGGAGATGCCAAGGCCTGGCCCTCCCTAGGAGGGCTGCCCATGCTCTCACCCTGCCTCCTTTCAGCCAAGGAGCTTCCTCTCTCCCCAAGAAAAGGGGAATCACAGCCTGGGCAGTTCCACTATGGAGCGGACACTTGTATTTGCTTTCCATTTCCAGCAACTGGGAACAGCCGGAGAGGAGACCTCTGGTTATCACATCTGGTTGACAAAGTGCTGCCTGGTCAAGGCAGCTGTGTGTGTCTGGAGCTCAGCACCTCTCAGCAGAGGTGGCCAGGGACCAAAGCAAACCCCTGCTAATGCACGCAAAATGGGTCTGGGGCTTGGAGGATGAGAGACAAGGTCTGACTCTGTCATCCTGTGAAGCTGCCCGATGCCATCTCCTCTGTGCTCCCACCGCAGGGCTGAGCACAACTTCACAGGTCCAGCTAAAACGAGGATGCGGGCTAATGGTTTTAAGTCATCTTCCAAATCCACTGGCAGCAGAACCAACTGCAGGATCACAGCCTGAAGGCCTCTACCAAAACAAGCAAAAAACCTCAACCCAAACCCCTTCCCAAATGCAGAAAATGGCTGGAGGAAGGAAACATCTGCATCAGAGCCTTGCCCTCAGCTAGTCAGCAGACAGCATTCCCTGCATGGAAAAAAGGGGAATGAGAACATGTGGATTTAAGCTAGTGGCAAACCCCAGACCTGGAACACACCCAGGAAGCAAAGCAGCTCTGAACTCCAGCACACCCACAAACATGACACTGTGGCTCTCTGCATAGCGGCCGGCCATCTTGCTGCCATGCGGGGCCACCCTGTCACCTCTTTGAACATTGCTAATGGCAGTAAAAACATACTTTCCTCTCAGAAAACAGAGAGCTTTTGTTGTGATGCACAACGGGGCAGGGATGCCATGGGACTGGTGTGCTCTCCTGTCTGGGACTCTTGTGCTAGCACCGGTATCCTTGACTTGGTGCACTGGGAAGCTAAGCAACCTCCTCTTCCCACAGCTGACAAATTGTTTGAACAAGCTGGGAAGTTACAGACGTTTTCATCTGCATTTTACCCTCTTGTACTACAGCGGTCAGCAAGGATCAAGTCACTCACCACCAGTAACAGAAGCAGCAGCACTGCACCACTCCCGGGCCAACATCGCTTTGTAGGTCTAGAAACTCCCTTTACTCTCAGTACGTTCTCCACGGCCCAGGACTGCAAGGGAAGGCTAGGAGGACTTAAGTGCACACAGTGCTACTGCACCACGCAGTATCCCTTTCCAAGACCTGATGCTTCTGCCAAATGGCTGGACCAGGCCACGTCCCACCTGCAGCTGGTGGTAGAGCAGGCAGGAAGACACACACAGCTGTGAGAGGTTAGAAAACAGCAGTGTGCATGCCTGTCGCAACCCACAGCTCAGGAGTGCAGGATGGCTGTTGGGAGGGGAACGGAGAGAATGACTTCTATTGCCACACACTATCTGTGGGTGAAGGGCCAAGACTCCTCATCTTCCTTTGGCATCGCCATGCCCATCTCTGCAGGCACACTGCCCTGCAGCCCAGGTGGACTGTGCTCCCTGCAGATTTCCTAAGCTCTCAGACCTCCAGTCTGCATCCTCTGTCCGAGCCCCTAAAGTGCCAGTGATACATCCCTGTTCTCAAAGCATCTCTGCACTCAAGACTGTTCCACTAGGGCCAGGGGACATTTCCCCTGTCCCGAAGCAGGGACTCTCCAAACTGCCTGGCATTACCTGGGTGACACATGGTCAACGAAACAGGAGGTGATGGACCTCCCCCCTCACTAAAGCCAGCCACCAGCTTTGCATGATTGTGTCAGAACACACTGGAGCAGAAAGGTGTTTGGCTTCACTGTAGCCTTGGATCAAGGAGGATGGAAAGACGGATTCTGACCAACAGCTCCAAACTGTCGCTATGGAACAGTGGAAGTTCCAGGATTTCACTCAGTCAGGTCAAAGTCCTTGCTGGGTCTGTGACAAGTTTGTGACTGAAGACTCTCACTGTGACAAGGGCTCTGACCGAGCCACAGGTGCTGGGCAAGCCTGATGAGCCGTCAGAAAACTATTTACATCTCCGATGCCAATGAGGCCAAAATCTGTGACCGATAAGGACACTTGCGCAGGGGCCACCACTGCCTCTGGGTCTCTGTCCAAATCCACAGGGCCAGCAATTAAAGGCAAACCCTCATTAATGTCTGCAGGGAGAGTGAAGTCCATGGTTATCGTCTCACCAGAGCTCTGCAACGTCTCCTGCTTCTCTGCTAGTCCTGGTCCAGCTGGCGGCAAAGCATAGAGCCCCGATTCTGAGGGGCTGACAGTGTGTTGTGTGCGGGAAGCTGAGATGGCGCCTGAGGATGACTCCTCTGTGGGGTCGAAGGAACAATTCGTCTCCGAAGGAGTACTGCACTCATAGCCCTGCCCCGATTCACTCATGCTGCCCAGGCTGCAGGCTGCGCTCTCCACGCTGAGGGGCTCTGCACACGGCAAAGGAGGGAAATGTGGGAGATGGACAGACAGAAAGAGAGGAAGAAAGGGTGGGGGACAGCAAGTGAGAAAAAGCTAGTCCATAACATACAAAAAAACAGAAACCAGTTCAATCCCACCTAATCACAACAGTATTTGTTTGGTAGCACAAATGTTTATTACAGTAACCAAGATCCCTGCCAGCATGTACCAAAGAAAGGCAAGATGCAGACAGCAGATGGGAGGCCATCAGTGTTTCTATGGAAATGAAAGGAAATCTCACAGACACACTCCAAGATAAGCCAAATCATAAGTCTTATGCCCTCATGCCAACAGCCCCTGGGAGATGCCTACACAAAGCCCTCATCTGTGGTAGGACGGTGAGGGAATGAACCCATTTTGGGCTCCTTCTAAGTCCTCTCACAGCAGCTCTCTCCAAAAGCAGTTTGCAAGTACAGCCTGACTTCTCACGTCTTAAGCCACCCTCCCGAGGAGTTACCCGTGTCTAGTGTGTCTGTGTGTTAGTGCATTGGAAGCACCTAACTCAGGTGCCCAAACTTAGTGCAAATCCTTTTGCTTTGGGACTTAGGCTACCCCTCCAAGCCCAAAACAACTCTTTTTAAGTGACTACTGGTCAATGTAGAGACAGACAAGTCTCCTTTGCTTACACCAAGATCTGCCCAGGGCTGGTATTTGACACGGGGCAAAGTGAGCTCACTGGCAAAGTGTGGGGAGAACGTAACAGCTGGATAATGACAACAGGAGAAAGGCAAAGGAGGGTCTGTGCTGTTGAGTGAGGGAGACGAGTTATCCCTGTGGCAGACAGAAGAAGTTACCTGTACTCTCTATTGCTATCTGATCTTGACTGAAGTGAGAATCCAGGCAGTTAGTTGCAGAGGGAATTGGTGGGGAGCTCTGAGAACGACTGGCGTTTTCTACTTCACCCCCATCCAAGTCATTGTCGGTGTAATCCCTGTGGGGAAAGACAGATAGCACTACCATCACTTATTAGGCAGAGAGATGCAGGCAGGGAAAACTTGACTGGGATTAAAACTCATCAACAAATAAAGCAAGAGGACTGTAGAGACCTCACTAGAATGAACGCCCATCCCTTCTTGGTCTGCAGAGCCCAGTTTAGACTCTGCACTGAGGCGATCGCAGTTAACTCAGCATGGCTAAGACCAGCCCATGACAAGCCAGAATGGGCTCTGTAGCTTTCCAAAACAAAGAGCTCTGCCTCCCAGCTCTTGATGAACCTCAGCCCCTTCCAAAGCAAAATTAATGGTCAAACATTCTCCCCAAGCAACAACCAGCTTCATAGAGTGACTGCAGCGGGTTATGACAACATTAAGTGTGCCAGCAAAGAGCAAGTGATGAGAAAAATATTTTCCTGTCTTGCATCAGAATTAAAAAAAAAAAAACACCAAACAAAAAAAACAAAAAACCCCACCAAAACCAAACCAAACCAAAACTAAGACTTCATCTAAAGTTTTTAATTCATTCAACTTAAATATTTCATTTTGACCTTTTAAAACATTTCCGTTTCAACCTTTTTGAAAAGTATTTTCTGTAATTAGCACACATTTCCAAATGAAGAATTTACCTTAAAGGGTGGCAGCAGGAAAAGAAAATAATTTAGGTTCCAAACCACCAGAAACAGTGTATTTTTGAACTCAAAAAACTCTCTTCCCCAAACCTCACTGAACTGAGTTATTTCCCGAGATCAGCCCTGAATCCCTGACCCTAGCCTTAATTTTTGTGGATGCATTTGTCTGAAACAAAACAGTGTTTTCTGATGCAAGAAAGTCCACATCCAAGCAAATAACTGCTTTATCTTCCCTCTCCACATTAACAGTGTTTATGTTCTGAGAATATCCAGTGCATCCCTCCATGGTCCCACCCAAGAAACCTTCTAAAGCAGAAAGTGCAGTCTTAAGTGGAGGTGCTTTGCAGCAGGAAACACTGGGAGGTTAATATTACTAATTTTAGTGTGAGAATATTCCACGCACGTGACTCCAGGGTGGAGGACGTACTTCTTCCTTCCTAAACGAGTCTGCTGAGTGAAGTAGTCATAGCGCTCTGATTTTTTCCACATGTAGTAATACTCCACACACTCGCCCACTGACCGGGTGCGGACCTGAGGAGAAACATCATAGTCAGAATGCCGTGCATCCAGATGTATCTCATGGAGCAAGGACTATTCTCCCATTTAATCAGCACATAAAATTAAGTGCATTACAGTAATTTATATTGCTCTGGACACATCTACGCTGCAGAACAGAAGCACGTACAGATTTCCAAGGTGGTAACTGGCCGGAGAAAGAACGCCCCACAGTGCACAATTGTTCTTGCAGACCCTAGAGCGGGTTCACACATGGTACATTCGTGCAGGACTTTCCTGCACTTCCAGTAGCACACTTAACACCAAGAGAGCAAACGTGCATCCATTTTCACTGGCCAGCATCAACATGCCCACAATTAATCAGCGGTAGAACTGGACACTCTGGTTCTGCCGACTCCCAGCACAGCAGCGTATGTCCTGAGGCCCAGCTCTCCCTACAACAGCATCTTTCATTCTAGAGGACCCCAGGAAACTTTACAAAACATCCACATGCTCAACCCACTCATTCACAGAAGTACTGCAAGGGCTGACAGTTTGGAAAGAACTTTTGAGACTCCAGAAAGGGCTAATCAGTAATTAACTGACACTCATGCAGGTCAGTGTTGTTTGTGACTTCTTCCACCTGGAAAATAAGGCAGAGCAGGGCTGCGAACAGCCTATCACCTGCTAGCATGAGTCAATACGAAGCCTGGGATCGGAACTCAACAGTCCTGAACTTCCTGCATTAGCCGAGGCTCAAAACGTACCTCTGGTGCAAATACACGTGCCTCCTTCCCTTTGTCTTAGTGGGATGCAGGGGTGAATGTCCTTACCTTGTTTGCTTGGATAAGATGAAAGTTTTTCCCATGGACCCTGAAGCCATGTTCAAAATTTCTACATTCTTCCTCACTCCAGGCACAAAGCTCATCTATAGCACAAAGAAAGAGGAATTGGAAGAGATGTAACTCTTCCTAGATTCCGTACATGTGCCTTGATGTTTAGGGTAGAACCCAAATATGGGGGGTTCTCACCTCTGATAACCTTCACATTGAACCGTAACCTCCGCAGTGCCTCTTCTGCATTGAAGTTGCATTTAACCAGTTCATACAAAGCCTAGGAAACATAAGAAAATCACTCACAGCATGTACCTGAGCAACACACCACAAACCAACCTCCTCATGACTCATGTTTGTCTCATAAAACTTATTTTTCCCAGGAGCTACTTTGCCACTAATCCCAGCTTGACCATCAGCATAGACTATTCTGCTTTTCAAGGCACTGGATTACAAACCCCGGGACTGAAAAGATGTGGTTCTACCAGCAGCCCTGCAGATTACAGGTATGCCTTTGTGTTCCTGCAGACTTACTGTGAGAATCTAACCTGGCTAGCTTAGAGGAAACACAACTGCTCTAAAGCAGTTCCTTAGCCAAATGTTTGATCTTCTGCTGGCTTCAAAGAAGAATCAGACAATGTAATAGAGGACAGATCCAAAAGGATGTTCTTGCTGCAAGCTCTGGCTCAGAGAGTTTGGGATACTGAGAGAATACAGTCAAAAGACTACCCATTCTCTACTTGCCCAGTCTGTTACAGGCTTTCCACAAACATCTGTTACTGTGTTGGAAGAAAAGCACTAAGCTCGACAGGCCTGTGGTCGGATCCACTACAGCCTTTTCCAGTCTTCCAAACAGGAGGGTGAATAGCCTCCTGAGACCGCAGCTGAGAAGCACACCCTCACTTATCCTTGAAGCAGGAGCAGAGGATCACTGGAGTTAGGTCTCGTTCTCTTTTACGTGGATGTCTCATTCAGGATGTCTGTAGGAAACGCTGCACTGTTACACCACTAACATTAGAGTATCTGTGGGCTGCAAGAAACCTCCATGCTTACCTGTTCATTGTCCTTCACCATCTCTCCTTCTGGCAGGCTGCTGCTAGACAGCTCATCCCATCGCCGCTTCACTGCACGGTATAGGAACTCTTCAACCTCTTTCTCAGGGAGTATGTTTGGGTCCCAAAGCAGCTGATCTTCATTCTCATAGGCTAACAGAAAAAGCACTGAAATAAGCTAATCAAACAGAAAATTCTGCTGCTTTTGAGAAATGGTCTGCATGTACATGCATGGGAGAGACAGAAGGAGGGAGGAAATCTTTGCTTGGTACTCCAACTTGGCACTAGAGATGACAACCATCTCTCTGAAGGTACTGTATCGTCCCTCCTGATTTTGGAGGCAGATAAGCTTAATACTCTTTATATCTCTTTTAGAGCCTTAAGCACAGGCTTGGCTTGCTTCCACTTCTTCAGAAGGACTGGTTGACAAGGTTTTTGTTACCATGTTCTCAAAGACTGTTGCTTTGATTCATTAATCCTGGCAACTAAAAAACCCCTAGGTTCTAAGGTGTCTTTTCCAGCACACAGTAAACAAAAGGAGTGGGAGGTGAAGGTAGCTTTGAGCTACAACCCTGGCCTAGGCTCAAGACCCTCTCCCTGTCCTAGATACAAAATTAAGCAGCTGCAAGGCTGCCCTCCCCTGTGATTGCTTGCAATGCTCCCCCATGAGCTGCTCCACCCACATAGGATAGCAGGAGCACACTGCATCACTAAGCAATCTTTGGCCCTTTCAGCTTTCAAGGCTCTTAGTCCACAGCACACAACCATGCAGAGAGATGTTTAAGTAAAACAACAGCACAGAAGAAAGCAAGAAGAAAGATGCTGCAATAAAAAATAACCAGAAATATTGAGATTTTTCTATTCAGATAAAAACATCAGCACCCTCTGTACTTAACTCATTTGTACAGGCAAAGAAATCAACTCTTCTACACTGTAGAATCACTAAAATCAGGTCAGAGGCAGGGCATACAGACAGGGCATAAAAGACCTCAACTGGGATCTACTATCAGTTTCCTTTCATTTCACACTGATGCGAACATACAGGTTATGGAAAACGCACACTAAATCTGTGGTCTTCAATACAGAAGGCTGAGAGCACTGATAAAAGTAAGAGAGAAAAGTTCTGAGAACTATATTGGGTAAACCTGAAATAGTATAGTATCTGCAAAACTGGTAACTTCTATCTCCTTTTACTGATTTGCTCAGAATCTGCTAGGATAAAAGAACTAGGGAGGAAGCAAGTAATTTCTAAAGATGTGGCTTTCTGTTAACTATCTTGTTCAGAAACTCAACAAGCTAGTGCTAGTATTGCACTAGTTATTGGATGCAATCTGCAAATCAAGGCACCTCCATCTACTCTGCAGACATCCTATCAAACTGGAAACTGATCAGCTCCAGGGAGTACTGAATGAAAATAATTCTGGCTACTTAAGGAAGATGTCAGAGAAAAAATTAGAATATCTCCAGAAGGGTATTCCTTCTCTTTGGCTACAGCTGAGACACCCTCCTCCAAACCTGTCACACCAACCCAGTTTTCACTGAGCTTCTTAGCTTCTGTAGCTGTATTACTAGCCCTATTCAAACAGGCTAGTTTAAAGCTAGCTCAGGTGTAGCCATAAATTTTGGTGTCAACACTGAGAGGTGCCAAGCATAGAGATACAGAGCAGAACTGGTGAACCAGGGCCCTATCAAGTGCCGAGGCCAGCAGCCCTACATCCAAACAAGATACATAAAGCAGGTTGCCTTACCTTTTTCACCGTGTCTGCTGAAGTGGAGGATGGGAACAGTGGCTTGGTACTGAGGTCCAACCATGATCTCCTGAAATATCACCACAGAGAAGTGACTAAATTGAAACAGAAAATGCTCCACATAGGCACTGAGGTGTACTTCATGATTTAGGGACTACGACACTATGAGGCCAATTTATTTATCGGTAGTCCCCACTGTCACTATTACTTCTAGGGAACCCTGACTATTTTAAAGGGTAACTAAGAAGATTTACTACCAACCAGATGATACTTTGGGGACCTTAGGCATTTACACAGTTTTAACGTTAAAGATATAGGGCAAGCAGCTAAGACTGGAGATAAAGAAATGCAGAAGCTCTCCTGCAACCTTCACAACCAGGATGAATTTGGAAGTCTAAGCCTCTCTTTCGTAAGATGGTTCCCCCTCAGTAAATCCTGCTGGGAATATTGCACAGCATTTTCCCTTTATAGAGCTACAGATTGCAGTTTTAATTTACCAAGGCACAACAGCATTTTCCATATCTGAAGCAGAAGATAATTTCAGATACGGATTTCAAGGTCATATTAAAAAAAAAAATAATCTTGTAACCCACATCTGCCACCGCCCTCCACAAAACGCAAGGCATTGAGCAAAACAAAATAAAAGAAAGAAAACTTCTTGCGAAAATATCACAGTGTTTTGGTGTCATGCTTTCCTCAGACTCAGGCACATTGTATTAGCTCCCCTCCCCAATGCACTCAGATCATTTACCTTCTTACACTCGTTGGATGGGATGGAATCCTCCTCTGAATCCTCAGCCATGGAGGAAGCACATGGAGATGAACAGGGCTCTTTGTCTTCATCAACAAGGAAGTTGTTTGCTTTGTGGGAAATGAAAAGATCTGTAGTTATGAATTTTATTTTTTTTTTCCTCCTAATGCTCTATGTTCCCTCTTCTTCCCTTCATTTTCTGTCCTAAAGTTACTTTCAGCATGGTCTGCAGTGACAACTCACCCGTATTTTAATTTTCTCCTTTTCAATAAAAGAATTTGCACACTTGCCAAATGGGTGGTGCCAGCCAACCTGGGGAGCTCAGACTCCTTCATTTTGCAGGATAGCAGAAGGAATAAGATCACTTCATGCTGTGTCTCTCTCACGCACTTTGGCTTCCCATGTATTCCAATATTTAGGAACTGCCACAACATATCACACCACTAGTACTACTGAATTTATTCACTTCTAGAGATGTCAGATCAGGTACTGATCTTTCAGACTGAAATTACAGCAGGGAGCAAAACAATTCTCACTTTCTTAATTGTGTGAGTTACAGCAAAAGACAACTATCCCCTCATCCCACTGCTTGTCTATGCTCTATCATGCCCTAACCAATGCTCAGTAACACCACTGGCACTCAGGTTTATTTGCAGCCTCCAGAAGGAAAGTGGAAAACCTGATGTCAGGAAACTAAGTGACAAAATAAAGAAAAACATTCTTGCCCTATCCTGCATATCACATCTAAGGAAAAACCAATTACTTAGAAATCAGTGACACATACAGCCAGGCTGGTTTGGGAATAGGTCCGATGCATCGTGGGATGTGACGGATGGAGTCAGATCATCAGCTGAAGACTGCGTCTCCTCCTCTTCTTCCCCTGAAAGCAAATCCTTCGCTATTTGTTCCTTTTAACAACAACAAGAAAGTGAAAAATATTTTTAAATTAAAAAATATTGAGGGTGGGTGAGGCCTAGAGTAAAGCATTTCTGGCCAAGGCTGGCCACATCCACAGATCTCCTCACCCTCCCATAGCTTGTCCGAAGACAGAGTCTCTCTCAGACTCCCCACCACCCCTAGACTATTTTCCCTAGAAGCACTTCTACAAGTGTCAAGAGTGGCTTCCTATGGAAGCCGGAGAGAGGATGAGCAAGTGGCCTTTTCTGTAGAGCTCCACTCATAGCAAATATCTCACAGATCCGGGAAGGGGGGGGGGTGGGCAGGGGGGAGTTTTATACAAACTTTAGCTAGAACAGGAGCAGCCATAGCTTCACCTTGGAAGATACAAACGTCCCCTGATCCTCCACTGATCCACATCTGTGTGCAAAGACTTGTAACCCAAGTTTCATTAAGAGTTTTTACAGTGTTCTTTTCAAAACAGTTATTCTTTCTCCAGTCTCCTCTAAAATCTTTACATTCACATTTCTGCACATGGTGTTCCTCACTGGGACACCAGAGCTAGGCAGGCCCCTTCCCCTGGCATTAGTCAAACTCCACCTGAAAAGAGCTACTAGACGTCTCAAGCTCCAAGACAGCACAGAAACCTACAGCGCAGGCTAAGAGCATACACCCAAGCAGACAGGTGCTCTTACCTTATCCAGAGTCATATCTGGGAGATTTGGAGTAATATCATTGCTCTCACTGTCCTGCTCCGAGATGGGATCAGATGCCTCATAGCCGTAAAGTGCAAGCAGCTCCTCAAATGGCATTTCACTGCTCTGAGCAAGAGGAGGACAAAGCTTCATCAGGAATGGAACAATCACTGAGTACAACACCAGCTGTAGTGAACACAGAGATATGCAGAGGCAGTCAAGGCAGCTCTGCTCTTCCAGGGGCTCTGAACTGCCTCAGGTAACGCTGTGTAATGAAGAAGGCATGGTCTATCAGGACCCACCACAACTTGTTCTTCTCAAAGGTATGGAGAAGCCAGGAACTTTCACCCCAAAGCAATACAGTCAAAGGCATTTTTTAAATATATTTGGTTTTTTATACTAGCTTTCATTCTGGTGAAGAGATGCCAGACAGCACAACTCTATAAATAGAGAGGAAGGGAAGGAATAAATCCCTGTATTAGTCTTGTGCCTGACCTGAAGAGACAGTCTGTGTCTCCAAGAACACACTTGGTGTTCCACTGAGGTCTCCATGGGACCACCAACAGGAGGACCACATCACCTCATCTTTGTGGTTCCTCCACTGTGAAACAGACATCGTACACCCAACAGCTGATGGCTCTTCAGCAAGGTGAGCAAAGACCACTTCATCAGAGTGGCTACTTGGCAGAGGAAGACTTCAAAATTTACTGCTGTCACTTGTTGTCAAAACCATTCCTTCCTATCCAAATGCAAACCTAACACTCGTCGATGGGTGGACCTAAACACAGCGCATTGCCAGCTGAGCAAGTCAGAGTTTCTCACAAAGATCTTTGATACCAGTACTGTAAAAGCAAGCAAGAAAATCCAGCAGGTAATTTCCCTTCCCCTCCCTTGCTGCCTTTACCTGAGAGGCACTGAAATTCTTCTCCAGCTCTTCTAAAGATTTCTGCTTCTCCTGAGTATCATCTTCTTCTTCCCTTCCTTCCCGTACACCATAGTTCTGTGAAAGGATCTCTGCTAGGTTCAGTCGATGATCAGCTGAGCCCATTGACACAACTGCAGGGATTAGAACAAGTTGGATACTAGCACCACCCAGGACCAAATCTTCAGATGCAACAAAGCTTGGGACGTTCCCTTCTTGTGTGTGTGCAGCCGTGATAAGCCAGAGGAAGAGATTAGGTAGAAAGGAGTGAGAGGGGCTGGGGTACACAACTGAAAGCAGTCAATCCACAAGCGCTAAACTGCAAAGCCTGGTTCTCTGCACATACAAGTCCCAGAATTGACTGAAAGCTGAATCGGAAGATTTTCTGAGTATTTGTGTGTCTCTCCTGACTGGATTCGCTAGTGTTGTAACACGTGAGTGCACACTGCAGCCTCTTCTTCACCCGAGGCATCTTTAGGATAATTACCCCTTATTGCAAGAGTGGGCAAATGGACACTTGTAGGAGCTTTGGTATCTTTAAGACTTTCCTCCTCTGTCAAATGGTACAGGAATCAACCAACAGGTTCAGAAGATGTTGGAAGAAGGGAACAGGCAGGCTGATCACAGAAGCCTTGTTTCCTCTGGAAACCAGATCAACAAACAGACGCATACTTAAACTGTGGCTACCTGCTGCACTCTGAAGGCCAGGTTCTCCAGGACATAGACTGCAAGCTGGGTATGGCACCACCCTTGGACTCTGCCTGCCAACCGAGGCCTTCAAGAAAAGAGAAAAATATGGCTGAGACATCTCTTCTTAAAAATGTAACATGCCTCCAGCCACTTAACCCCACCAGCAAATGCAATTAATTACATTTTAAAACACAAGTTAACAAAAACCACACAGGGTAGCAATAGAAACTGTGCTGTGCAAAAAGAGCTCTAGTCAAGTGTATTTAACAGCTCTTCCAGGCCTCCTTTCCTCTGGATTCATCACCTTCCCCTCAGTCTCTAACTGCATATGGTGGTGTTTCCATTTTATTTATTTTACCTTCAGCACTCCACTAATTATTTATCCTCTTAGCAGTTTAAGACCTCAGATCTTTATGGCTTACATCTTCACTTAGAAGAAGGATTTTGACCCTAGGCCATTACTCTAAATACACACATCATGCTTGTTTGAAGACAGCATTTTTATGAACTGACCCAGTCTTTGGCAAGGCAATCAGAAGCAGCTGGCCACAACACGCTGGCTTCTCCCTAATGCCTAGCCGCATTCAGAAGGCTCAGAGGGGTGAGCAAAGAAATTTAGAGCTGAGCAGGCAGTGAAGGAGTTTGGTAGGACTGCAAGTGGCACAGGTGAGGTGGGAAAGGGTGAGACAGGTAGACACTGAGAACAGGCACCTGCTTTCTGGCATTCAGTGCTCAGTCAGAAGTTCAGGCAGCAGTATGGGCTGAGGCCTGGAAAACAACCCAGAACATCTGCTGCTCCTTCCGCTGCTGTACATGGAAATGCTGTTCATCAAGTTCAGCCTAGGTAGGGAGCAGGCAGGTAATTAACCAATGCCTTTGAGTGACTGAGAGCATCCAACTGCGGAAGAAAATCATAGTGTCAGTCCCCAAGTCACCAATGACATCTTTTTTATGATCCTCAGCCATTAATAAACTCAGCTGTGCACCATCACTCCTCACCTATGCAGTGGGAGCCAGGATATCCACAGTGCTTCAGTACGAGGCTCCTACAACTTATTTAAAAAACCATAGTACAGCTTCACATCAAAATTTATCCTCTAACAATAAAGCAAAGCATATACCAAAAAAGCCACCCCAGACTTTGGGTTCTGAGCTGGTGCCTTCAGGTATTAACACACATATTGCAAATTCCATAACGACTAGAGAGGCTGCTATTTTCTAGGTATAATTACCGCTAAGATAACGGTTGGCCTGGAAGGCAGCAGAAGGTATTGCCATATGAGAGAAAGACTGAGAGGGAAGAAGGGGGAGGATCTGTGAAGCAGCTGTGGAATTCTTGCTCCTTCCTCTACCAGGACCGGTGAAAAGAGGATGTCTCTAGTCCAACCGGAGCACACACTGAACGCTGCAATTTACCATCCTCGAGTGTCTGACTATTAGCAGCAAGACAAGCCCCGTGGAGACCACTTCGTCTGGCTGCAGACAGAGCCCAGTGACCGTGCGCACTAAAAAAAAAAAAAGGAGGAGTTTATGGGATAATGAAAGAAGTGGACGGAAAGAATTCAGACAGCCTCCATTTTGAGGATGGTCATATCAGGAAACGGCTTCGTAACTCAGGAAAGTGCCAATGCCCCTTTGTTGGGCTTCGCTGGAATGTGACCAAGTACAAAATCCTCTTGGATAAATCCTTCCAAGCAAACCACCCCAGTTTCATAAAAAGTATAAGGGTGTGGTCTACACTTACTCGCTCTAGTCTTGAGTGATCTGCAGAACTCTTTCCTGAGATAATGACCTATATATTGATTGCACCTCCTTCACACAGGGATCAATAAGGAGCTGCATGCAAAGGATTTTGAAAACAAAGACTGAAACTGTTAGCAGTGGATGGGTTGGCTTGAAAAGGTGTCAAGAATACTTAAGGAACAATGAAATCTTATATTAATGATCGGGTGCTGAAATGGAGAGTAATAGTCAGTACGACAGGACGACAATTCAGTAACTAATCACAAGTTTATTTCCGCGAAGCAGTAAGTAGCATTAGAGCAACCGGGAACTGCTGTGAGCTGGAGTCACCGTAAAATAACTAGCACTGCTGTGTTTGGGCTAAGAAAAGAAGAAACAAGTGACAGACAAAGCAAACAGCCCATTCCACACATAAATTTAAACAAGTGAACAATCCCTCATTATTTACAAATCCAGAAGACCACAAGAACAAGAGTCACAGTCAAAGGAACAGGGGAGAAAGGCAGGTCTAGCTTAAAAATGTAAATGTTGACAGAGAATATTCCTGATTACACCGATTGCTGATGTCATGTGATGAGGAGTTATTTTGTTTGAAGGTGAGGTAGCTGCAGTCTGACATTTCAAATCCAAATAGCACGTAGGAGGCAGAAAATGCAACAGCATTACATGCATCACAAAGACACCAAGGAGCTACCAGATACCTCCAGATCAAGAATGGTTCTTGGCCAAGGTGTATATGCTTTTATTGCTCATGATGGTTTTTATCACCATGAAAGGTCACAGTGGTGAACTCCATTTATTTTGACAGTGCACCATGATGCTGGAAAATGGCTCCTACATCCATGGGCCATTTAATCTTGGAGAGAAAAAAAGGGAGATTAAATTCTTTAAATCTCGCTTTACATTTCCCAGTAGCTGCTTCCCTTCCACTAGTCTCTGCTTCTCAGGCATGAGAAGAACTTTCCTCTCAAAAGTTACAGAGGTTGATCAATTACTCACTCTCATGTTTGTACTTCTATATGACTCCAGCACTCCCTCCTTAAGTCTGGACTCAAGTTTTTGAACGCCTGGAACAAAGCAACAGCCATGTTTTAGAAAATGCAGGCAGAGGAAGAGCCTGAGCTTTTTGCACTGACAAAGCCATTTTCCAGTGCAAGGCAGATTAAGTTTGTCCAGAGAACTACCAGAGAAAACCCTTTAGACTGAAACCACTCTTGCAAGAAAGTAAGGAAAAAGAGAGAAAGTTTCCCTTTCCACTGTTACTACTTTAATAACTAACATGGTTTCCTGAGCTAGTTTAAACGTATATTGCAGACTCAGTAAGCAAAGCGTTCCTTGTTCCTTTGCCCTGTCCATACTACTTGACATGGGTCTGTTTGTTGCGAACTCCAGCTGTAGCCAGAGGGAAGTGGTATGGATGGAAAGAGATTCATCCTGTAACCTACACAACTGAAAGAGAAAAAAAACGAACAGATGACAAGACACACAGGTCATCTCCTGCACTGCTCAGGAAAATCACTGTCCCAGTCAGAGATTGTTGCAATGTCACAGCAGAGATACTCTGCAGTTCAAACCTCATCTGCAAGACAGTGACAGCTCCCGCATCTCCCCAAGACGAAGAGACCTGTGTGAGCAATAGCAACATGGTGCGGTGTGCCAGGGCGGCACTTCAGTGCGTCACATCAGCCCAATAACATGCCAAAGTAACACTTCGGCACAGATAAATGCAGCACCCTTGGTGCTTCACCAAAGGCAGCAGCAAAGAACAAACCATTCTGGATGGGACAACAGGTAGGCCAGATGGCACCTTCCTCATGCAAAATGCTGAAATACCCTTTAAGCAAAGGCTTGCCATCGAACTGAAGTTGTTTCAGCTAGCAGTGTTCCGAGATCCTGCGACAGAGAAGCCAGCTACCTCAATGCCTTCCCAGTGTCCTTTTCCCACGTTGTGGTCACGACAAGAATCTCGTGATGGAAATGAAATGCAGATGTGCCACAACCACCGTTACAACAGGATGGGGATATTTCAAGGACGTGTCCAGATGCGATAGAGAATGGCATCACCACCCATAAGCGTGGTGGAATGATGGCAGCAACATTTCGGCACGATGCACCAAGACAAACACAACATCGCAATGGGAGAGGCAGAAGGGGCATCCCCACTCCACTGCAGAGTGCAAGCCCCCACTTGCCCGCCTGCCCTCTTGGCAGAGCTGTTCTCCCCAACCCAGTCACCCCAACAAACTGTTCCCACCGCCTTCCCCAGTTCTCTGTCATTCCCACATCCCTGACCGCTGTGCTCTCCCACTGCTCAGGCCTTGTCGCTTACCTCCAGCCTTTGTGAGTCCCTTTCGAGGAGCTCCGCACCCCTCTAACCCCAGCTCCCCAGTGACCCCATCCCGATGCTGTCCGTCCCTTCTGTGCTAAAGCCTCGGGGGCTCCTGCTTTGCTCTCTGCCA